GCATATTCATAGAATACACCATCACCCCGAAACAATCACTAATGGTTTTAATTCGACTTAACACCGGTTACAAATAAGATGTCCAAACGTCGTCAATTAACATAAGATGGCTTGGTCCTTACCATATCAATTCCATGTGCTACGAAAAGTACCCACATCTTCTCCCCAAACAATTCAAGTCCATGTCAAAACATTAATTTCGGGATGAAATTCTTTCTAACGGGGGGATGATGTGACAACCGTCAATTTCCGGTCAAGTCAAAGTCAAATAAAGTCAACAAGTCAAACCGGTCAACTCCGTTAACCCTTGTATATTAGGGTTTCTGTTATGTTTCCTATTGTACAACTCGCGATCTTAATACAAAGTATCACTTAGATTTTTCACGTGTTCGGAAATTCTAAAACCTAATCAGGGTAAGTGATGAAACTACCCGACAAAACATTATTCCATACCCCTCGAGGGCGTATAACATTCATAACGAGGCTTAACGGGATTTACGAACCTTGCGTTACGAAGCCAAACACTCAAAAAGGTCGCAAACGAAATCTCTCTCAATCTCTCTCTCGCTCTATCTCTCTCTATTTCAAATCTCTCCCAAATCTCTCTAAGTATGAGAAATCTCTCCAAGAATGTGAAATCTCCCCAAATCTCTCTCATAACTTCTTTTAACTTTTGATAATCATTCGGGTCATCCCGACACTTAACTTGGTGAAAAACCGCTCGAAACGGGAAGATTTCTTGAAAAATAGCCTTAAAGAACCGAAACCTTCCCTTAAGGGGCGAAGCCTCTCGGACCAAACTATGAAGGACCGAAACTGAAATCCTGAACCGAAGTGGCTTGAACCGAACCCGAAGCCTGCTGAGGACCAAACCCTCCGAACCGAACCCGAACCCCTCCCTTCGGACCGAACCTCCCCACTTCGCTTTCGGTCTATTTCGGACCATTTTGCCTTCGGGCTATTTCGCTCTTACTCACCTTCGGTCCATGGCAGCAAGGACCGAACCTCCGGCCCACATCCGAGAAGCTTCGCTGTAAGGCCCATTTCACCCGGTTTTCGACCACGAGATCGTTTTAGGCCCGTTTTTTCATGATTTTAACGCGAGATTTTCACCCAAACTTATATTTTGACATATAAGACCCCATATTTCCATAATCTAATCACATTTTGAGGGTAATCATTATCTAGGATTAAAAATATAGTGGGTAAGATATTTAGGTGGAGTGTTGACTTATTAACCTTTGGGCAAGGACACAAGTTACCTCCCATACCCACTCCATTACCATCCCCAGTCACTATTCCACCATACCTGGTCATTCCATCGTCCTTTTCCCACTCTTTCCAGCCAAGCACCTTGATCCAAGGATAGAAAAATCCTTATCTGTCCTCCCATTTCACTCACACTCCACCAAGAAGCAAAAACTCATTCTCTCTCATTATCCCTCTCTAATCTCGAAAATTCAAGGCTGATCACAAGTTCTTCATCTACTCCTAGTAAGTAATATCACTCCTCACATGATTATTTCTCTTCTTTCTACTCAAATCATAGGTATCTTACACAAACACCATCATATTTGTTGTTAGATCTTCGAATCTTCAAGCATCTTCTAAGTGTTCTTGAGTTGAACACATCTTTTCTTCATCATCCATCTACTGAAATCACTCAAGGTGAGTTCATACCCCTACATTTTTATGATTTCTTTCTGTTTTAGGGGGGAATACAAGTTAAAACATCATAATATAACTTAAACTCAAACTCCAGCTTTCATCAAGAAAGTTTAGTTCCATTCACGGACTGTTTTGAACATCTTAAACATTTTAGTTTTCAAAACTGTACAAGGTGCAAATAGTTCATATTTCTACCTTTAAAATGACTTCTTGCACATCTCCATACGATTTTTCTACAATTTATGGTGATTTTTACAAAACTGCCTATCATTTCAGAAACGAATTCGGACCAGTCTGTGAATATGAACGTTTTCACACAAGTTAAAGACTTCTAAAAATCATAATAAAAATTATCAATAAAATAGACATATTTTCTAAACTCTCAGAGTTTACGGATCAGAATTTCGACCTCTGATGATTTTTCTATAAATTTTCCAATAACAGGATCAGGAAAGTTAAAAACTATAAAATAGTTAACAATCGTATTTACACCTTGTAACTTGCTGAGCAAGGTGTGTAGTATTATTTGAATACATGTTGTTGATAGTACATATTATTTACCTTAGTTTAAAGGTATGAATCATATACAAAGGGTTACTACCACTACAAATAATTATAATAAACTATAATAAGTATAGTTAAGTCTATTATACACCACAAACAAATATGCTAAACTATAATAGGTATAGTTAGGTTGCATATACATTACAAACATTATGATAAACTATAATAGGTATAGTTTATGTTTCATTTACATTACGAACTCATTACAAAAGGTTTTCATTTCACAAAAAGGGGTACATTACAAAGTGCTGGGTTTTCATATAAATGGGGTACGAATACAAAGTACCGGGTTTATACAAAAAGGGATACATTACAAAGTACCGGGTCTTCATATAAATGGGGTACGAATACAAAGTACCGGGTTTATACAAAAAGGGGTACATTACAAAGTACCGGGTATTCATATGAATGGGGTACGGATACAAAGTACCAGGTTTATACAAAAAGGGGTACATTACAAAGTACCGGGCTTTCATATAAATGGGGTACGAATACAAAGTACCGGGTTATACAAAAAGGGGTACATTATAAAGTACCGGGTTTTCATATAAACGGGGTACGAATACAAAGTACCGGGTTTACACAAAATGGTTTTATGGTATTAAAACTACATATCATTTAGAATTGTTAGACTTCAGCTATAATTGCTAAGTGTATATGCTAGGGTTATATAAGAATCTAGTCACAATCGACTTAGAATTGGTGGTCCCGCCTTACTTCCTGTTCCTTGTTTGGTTGTGGACCTAGGCAGACCCATTATATTCGATGGTCTATTTAACTTAAATTTTATATAACTTATATACACTGGGTGATTATAGAAGGAATCTACGGGTCTTTCTAGGGTACATTATTGCATAACATAAGAGCTTTCATTTCACACTTAACAAAGAAAATATTGGATTTTCTGGAATCATACTCTATCGCTTTTACAAGGAAAACGACTTCTTTCTCAAGTAAAACTCTTATGAACTCACCCACTTAATTGTTGACACTTTTTCAAAACTACTTGTATTCTCAGGAAATCAGTGAAACGAGAAATCAACAACATCTTGAGGATGGGACGTTAAATCGTCAAACAGTTCATTTTGTCATCATAATGTAATTATTTTTGAAACATGTAAACATATACTATGGTGTAACCTTTTCAATTATATTTTATGATGGTTGTATTTACTTTGAGCACTATTATACTCGTTGTTGTGATACTATACATGAAGTCCTCCACCCACAGACGTTTCCGCCATCCTTGGTTTGGGGGTGTGACATTAAACAATACTTTTCAACTACTATGTACAGACAGGGGCCAGACATGAAACACCGGAGGGCATGACCATTTTGGCATTTAAGCTGTTCTGAAATCCAACAACCCTATGCGGCCCTTCAAACCAGATTCCCCGTACCGTGAGCAACTAAAAGGTATTATAATAACATTTTATATAATTTATAATACTTAGCACATTTATTGTTTATAGGTTCATAATAACGATAATGAACCTAAACATAAGTTATACTTAAAGTAGGGTAAGCATAACTCACTTACAAGAGGGTTTTAGCTAGGAGTCGGGCTCTGCGGGGCAAAACTTCGTCGATAAATCTTTCTAAAAAGATTCTTGTAGCGCTTCATCACTCAGCTTACTATACTAAAACTACCTAAAGAGAAGTCAAATCACGAGGGACCGAAATGCTCGGGGGATAAGAAGAGAAAGACTATTGAATCAAAAGAATGGTGCAAGAAATATTAGAGCCTAGAGCCTCTTATTTATAGTAATTGAATTTTCAAAAACCACCCTCTATAGTTACTTAAATGACCTTATAGTTATTTAAACGACTAAGCACCCATTTATAATATTGTTTTAAATAGATTTAGTGATATTTGTACTAAACTAATGTCGAAAGTACTCAACACTATTCTTATAACAACCGCATCGTCGATACCTTTCTAATGATATATATATATATATATATATATATATATATATATATATATATATATATATATATATATATATATACTTTATTTTAAAACGTAAATATGCTATTATAAATTATAACTCGTTCATACGAACTCCGTTTTTGATGTTCTTTATATCCATGCATAACTATCGACGAGATCTACAACTTTCGTTTACACTCCGTCGACTAATTTTAGCTTTATTTTCAGTCCATATTCTTATAAAAATTAAATGATTTTGCAAAAATCATAAGTCTCTCGTACACACTCCGTTTTTGGCATTCTTTTTCTCAAAATTCTTATTTTAAAGAGTACTATGATTTTCTTTTTGGTGGCTTTAGCTAAAAGTCAACCATTCTCTTCCTAGCTTTTTACGTCATACATTCATTGTGCACGGCTGATTTTTATATCTTATAAAAATCATATCTAATTTATATGGAGTCGGATTTCTACGAAATTTATATTTTCGGGATCGGGAAGACGTGTAATTTCTAATATATATATATATATATATATATATATATATATATATATAGGTTTTGGCACACTTATTTTTACGGTTTACCACTACTAAGAAACAACCCTTTAATGACACGCGAACAATGACACACCCTGATATACGATACACATTTTTTGTGTGATAAAAATAATGTCTGGTTTCTAAAATTTGAAGGAAAGAGGACACTCATTTGTGTGTTCCCTAAAATTAGTGTAAAAAAAAACACAGAGGGCGAATATGATAAAATGTGTCCTGTGTACGCATGTCGTTTTATATACTTTTTTTTTCATAAATAAGTGTTCTCTTCTTTAGAAGCTTACCGGGGAAATGAAATTCCCAAAAGTTTGAAAAGCTGCCATGTTCTCCTCTAGCTTCTTTCCATCGTTCTTCTCTCTCTCTCACAATCAAATACCAAAAAAACCCTCAATCGGAGAACCACGATGTCTCTCTCACCGTCACTGCTCTTTTCTCCCACAACAACATCGCACAATCACCAAATCTCCGATCTTCGACCGATGTATCCACCCATTCTCTGCCCCCACTCTAATTCGCTTAGTCAAATATCCAAAAACCCTCAATCAGAGAACCACGGTCGCTTCTCCTTTCTTCCACACCAGTCGACAGAAATCAAGGAGTCTCATGCCTAAAAATCTATATAGGGCCACAAAATCGACTATTGTTGGAACTAGGGTTCTGGTTCTTAGTGAAATCGAAGGTTTTTTGGTCACCAGGCCATGAAATTGAAATCAAAGGGATACAGTTGTTGGAACCATGACTATTGTTAGAACCAGGGTTTCGGTTCATAGACCCTCCATCTACTTCTCTCGATCTTCATATCCTCAATTAACGAGTCCTCTATGCTCGCCGCTATTAGCCATCGCCTACCTGTGAAGCCACCACCGGATGGAGACCGTCGCACCCCATAGCTACACCAGAAACCTTCAACCTCTTAGCTATAGGTTCGCTTTTCTTCTATTTTTTCCTGGTTTCCTAATATATTTCACAGAAATATATCTCTTGATTCAACGAACTCCATATGAGTATCATAGGCGGAGGCACATTTATCTCTGTTGCTCTGATTTCACTTCAAAATCTCAGTCTATAGCTTGTAGTTATTGACCCAATTTATCATGTAGTTGCATTGGGGAAAATCCAGCATGAAGCTGGGGAGAATCTTCGAATGTCATCTGAACTTGTTAAATGGAGATTTGACATATTGACGTTAAGACTTTATAACCATCTGAATGATTATGCTTTTACACAGGTATGGAGATTTGAAATTGCAATATCCAGACAATAGAGCTTTTGCACAACACTTTGAGAAAAAGTATGTTGGGAAAATCTTGGAATGTTATCTAAACTTGTTAAATGGGATCCCTGTTGTTAATGGTGGTTATTTACCGGAAAGAGTTACCTATCTTATTTTACAATATTGAAGCAATAGGTTTGTTTCATCTGATAATCTTCACACTTCTCTTATTTCTTCCTTTTTACTTTATTTTTTATTGGATCTACTCCATATTGTATCATTCAGTATTTCCAAGGCTGCTACATACAATCTGCTCCAAGCAAGACTTAATGTGGTTCTTTTTGAGATAATCTTTCCATTTATGTGCTTCAGTGACAACGATCAAAAGCTCTGGGAGGAAGATCCACATGAGTATGTCACAAAGGGTTATGGTGAGTCTTATATATATATATATATATATATATATATATATATATATATATATATATATATATTAACAACCCATAGTTTATTAGGTGCTCAACACTTTATTCTTACTGCAGATATTATTGAAGATTATAGTCCCAGGACTACAACACTATACTTTTTGATCAAGTTAGTGAAAAAGAGTGTGGAAAAATCCTTCAAAAAGTTATATTATTCATTCTAGAAATTTTTAAAAGGTATGTCTTCTTTAGCTACTATTTAGCATGTTTCCTACTTTCCTACACAAAAGACTTGAAAGTTTGTAATGGTGTATCTTATATCTGATACAAGGATGCAAGACTAGTTGAGATTAAGCCTTATAGACAAAAGGATGGTACACTTCTTGTTATTGGAACACTCTGTGATAAATTGATGCAAACTGAAGCTTATAAGTCGGTGCTCGAGCAAATGTTGGTACAACATGTTTTCCCAGAGTTTAGTAGTCTAATGGGCCATATCAGAGCAAAGGTAAATCTTTTTAGTTATTATCTCCTTTTTATTCTTTTATAGTTATGAACTTTTTTCTAAAAGATTATTTTTTTTAAGTTGCATGGGTTGCAGGAAAATATGCTCATATTTATTTTTCTGACCAAAATAATTTCTACAAAGTGTTGTTGCTGGGATAAGTGACTCGGAGCTTCCAATACGTGTTGACTCGGTTGTTTCATTGTGTTCTTTCGTTAAAGCATGTGAAGGTAATTAAACCACTATTTAAATACATTCCCTTTTTGTTGTAGTTTCTCTCCTTTGAACCGTAATATAATCTTATTCTGTAGATCTTGATGAAATGAAGCCAGTTCTTCCACAGCTCCTTTCTGGTGTTGTGTTGGCTCAAATTCCAAATTTTGTTTGTTGATTTTCTCTTACACATGGTTTATTTTTAGAGCTTTTTAAGGTTATGAATCAAGTTGAAAACATGGATCTGATTTCTACCCTTGAGAATATTGTTCATATATGTGAAGAGGAGATGGCACCCTATGTTGTTTGCTTATGCCAGAACCTAGTGATGATTTTTTTATTAAAGATTTTGTTATTATCAGCACTCTAACTTTTTTTAATCATTACACAGGCTGCTGCATTTTGGAAGTGTATGAACACAGCTGAAGAAGAAGATGAAGCTGATGATGATAGCGGTACTTTCGCAGTCGGATGCCTAAGTGCCATTAGTACTGTTCTTGATTCAGTAAGTACACTTCCTCAGGTAGTTTATGAGATGGCTTGACCCTTTTATAGGGTTTTTTAATGGTCTTGAAGTAGTCTTTATTGTTTGATATGTAGTTTCTACGGATATTGCTTTAATAGCTGTGTGTGTTAAGGGGCAACATTTTTTTGGTTATTTCCTTGCCTGATTTGTGATCTTAACTTTGTGGATGTGGAGTTATTATAAAAATATCACCTTTTATGCTTCTTGTATATAAGATGAGTGTATTGTTTACACCCTCCGTTACTTTTGGATCCCATGAAAACTAACAATTTCCACTTTTTAGATGACTACTGCCTCCCTCTGTCAATATGCACTTTTTTTTTTTATCTGGGGAGATCTTACTTATATGGATTAAATGGGTGGTATCATGGATATTTGAGATCTGGGAAGTGTAATGAATTTCAAATTTAAAATGCAATTGCTTCGTTTTGTTGTATTGTTGGATGGGTTTGTCCTATAAATTATAATGGACATAGTATCAGTTGTTTGCACAAAAGCCAGTCGGATGTGAAAGCCTCAAGGGTGTTGATTGCTACAAGATCTGAAGGAACAGAGGCACGTGAATTTCACAATCAGAATCAAGTATGTGATGAAATTTGTGAGCAAATCAAATCAGTGTTGGTTTGATGGTTTCTTTTTTTATTTGGTGGTTTTGGTTCACCTACTCAAACACTTACTTTACCTTTGTCTTTGTGTCGATGTAGTTTAACATACATAGGTTGGTATTTGAAGAATGACAGGGGATTAAAACAGTGGAAGAAGCTGAATCAGCACTATGTTAGTTAATAAAATGAGGTGCGATTACATTGTACACAAGTAACAAAGATCCAGATTTCCAAAATAGTTTGTGTTTTATGTTTGTCGTTATTTGGGTTAGGAAGATTTGTTTTTCTAGTTTGACTGTTGTTTAAAATAACAATTAAATGTGATTTATTTTGAATATTAGTATATTTATTATATGAAATGGATTGTTTTGTTATAGAAGTATTTTATTTTGTATTATGAGACTTCAAATGTGTTATTTAATTTGAAAATTAATAAATCTATCATATATATATATATATATATATATATATATATATATATATATATATATATATAAACATTTAAAATTATGACACACAAAAATGTGTGTCATTTTTCTTTATTTAGGGGCTTTAATGATACGCAATGCGAATCGTAAACGCGTGTCGTCTTTTTTATGACAGGGCCTTCCTCGACACGCATTGTTTGTCGTAAGAGCACATCGTAAATGCACGTCGTAAGGTTACGCCACGCAAATGCGTGTCGTCGTCCTTTATGACAGGGCCTTCCTTGACATGCATTTGTGTGTCGTCTGTGGCTTTTACGACACGCAATACGTGTCATTAAAGGGTATTTTTCTAGTAGTGTACGGACAATCCGACTGATTTTTCTTATTTTATTATATTATAATAATCATGAAACACATAATATTCATATAATTCTTATTTATTACGTCAAATAGGTTACCATTGTTAACCCTAACTATTACTTTGGTTAAGATTATTTATCCTAGATAATCTTCTATAAAAAATCATTTTTAACGCTTATTATATCTTAATTGACTAGCCCGAATCTGCGGGTGTTACAGTTATCTCCCCTTTAGGATGATTACGTCCCGGAATCATCAGCAAAACAGGGCTTGTATAATGACCCTGTATGTTTCCTTTCCATCCTAGGTGGTATTCATAACTCTTATGTCCTTTCAAATGAGTATCTAACTCTAGGACTCTGTGACTGCTGGCGGTGCGCAGTCTTGCACCCGCTCTTTATCCTATGTTGGACTTTCAATCATAACCTTCGACTTACAAACTCGGTCCTTGTTGGAGATTCCTGCTTCTTCTTAAACATACTTAACTTAAGATAAGGTCTTTACTTCGATTATTGTAACAGCCAGATGGGCCATGTTCTAATGACCTCTCATCGTGTGATGCAACGATTAGACTAGGGTCTTTTTTTTAAGTCAGATTCCAGAATGGAATATACCTTCCTTCATGTTATAATATGGTATAATCACATTCTATCATGTAACACTTCTAGCTACAAGCTTCTTACTTTCACGGTGATTGCAATACTTCTATTGATTGCTTCGATTATCTTTCACTTCAATATTCTGGCTTAATTCGAATGCTACATTGAACTTGGTTCTCTGAACTACGTAACATACCTATCTTAGTTGGACTCGATTTCATATGACCACTAGGGTCAGAATAAGAATCATCTTTTTAGTCATTACCAAAACGATGGTAATGACAGACATGAACAAAACATAATCAATTACTAGCGCCTTGGTAACCTTGTGACTTTCCTTAATCCAAGTGTGAGTCCTGTGCTTCTTGTAGTATAGGCCTCTACTACCTTTCACACCTACTCATACTCATCCCCAGTATTGTCTCGCAGTTCTCCAAGTCACCATACAAGAATTTTACATAATCATTTAACACATCGGATAACATAACTAAGGTTTATATTATTTCTTGAAACGATTACATAATATTCAAGTTCACCCTACACTATACCTCTTATATTAGGCTACACCACATGGTACTATTTATGTGGCCACTTTATAACTCGCTCTTCGAATATATAAATCCTTACTCCTGATCCCTCGCATCGTCACCTGCTTCATCAAGGATCATCTGGAATGCTCTTGCCTTTGGCTTCGGCAACGTATTCGGCCACGCTGCTTCATTTTTCTTCGAGCAATCCTTTAACATATGCCCCTTGTCTCCACATCCGTAGCATACCTTATCATTAAACGTACAATCCTTGGAATAGTGACCGATCCTCCCACACTTATAACAAGTCTCTTCTCCATAGCATCTCCCATAGTGCTTCTTTTTGCACTTCTCACACCACTTTTCTTCATCGCTATCCCCATGCCTCTTGTTGTTGGGATCATACTTCGGGAACCTATTTTTCTTGTCGGATCTTGAAGATTCCTCAAACTTCATCTTCACGCTAACTTCAACCTTGTTGGTGGTTCTGCCTTTGATCATTTCTTTGACAGACTTAGCAACCCAGATGGTTTCCTCAAGAGTAGGTACCTGGCGTATTGGCACAGTGTACTCCCATGGTAGTCTCTTTGTGTACTTATCGATTTTTGTTAGCTCGTCAGGGACGATGCGCGAAGCAAACTCCATCTTGTCTGTGAAGGCATTAGTATACTCATTAATGGACATGTTGCCCTTTTACAATGTCAGAAACTGATTATCCAGCGCTAGCATGTTTTAGGTTGAGCAGAACTTGCGTTTAAGTGTACCAAGAATTCTGCCCATGTCAGTTGTAGTGGCTCATTGGGGCTCATGATCTTTCCCAAAGTGTTACACCTACGAACAGCTCCACCCCTAAACTGACGCACAACATAAGTGGTTTGTAGCTTGCCATTGCAACCAGATGTTATGAAAGCTAGTTCCATCTCAAAGATCCTGTCCATAACTCCGTCTGGATATTCTTTCCCAGTAAATGTTGATGGTTTGTAAGTCGTGAAGTCTTTATACTTGCATCCATTCCTTTCAATCCCTTCATCTTGGTTATTTCTTCTAACCACTGGCGGTTCAGCTTGGCTAACGGTTCTACTATAGTTTCCTTCTTCTGACTGTCCATCATTCAGTTCAGGTACTACAATTGGCACAGTAAGTTCATCCCTATTAAGAAACATTTGCCTCATCTCCTCCCTTTGTTCAGCAATCATATCCCATATCATTGTCTGGACTCCTGCCGTCATGATTGGCTCGGGTGCAGTTGCTACCTCTGGTGCACGCTCAATCACTTGTGGCTAAGGCTGCTGGTTACCATTTCCCAATCCGCTTCGATTTCTCACCATGTCGATCTATACACCAAATCAAGCGTTCGGTGTGAAGTGACGAGAATTAAGATTGGAAAGCTTTATTTGCGATGATGTATAAATCTATTTATCATTTCGAAAAGTTACATGTCAGTTCTAATACCGTAATTAAACGTTTAGAAATCTAAAGACATAAAGTTTTAAAATCCGGTCGGCAACAGACCATAGGTCCGATCAAACGATAATATCATAACGCATATAAGGCATATTATAGCATAAATCAATTAGCACATAAAAGCAATTTAGGCATCTCCGCTAAATAAGCTAGTGCGCATGTCTATTTAGGCATTCATCCTAAATACAACAGACACTCATCTCACAATCATCGCTTAGCATTCTACGTTTAAGTCTAGAAATTTCTTACAATTCCTAGTTCGCTTAAACTAATTCTTTGATATCAACTGTGACATCCCCAAATTCACGAACATTTTACAAATTTTATTTATGCTTATTTAAAAATTAGAGTTTCCATTTTAAAGAATAATATTGCGGAATTTATTCCCAGAAAACATGATCAAGATATTATCAAAGCATTTCCGAAGAAATGTATTTTGTTTATATTAAAACATTGGGATGTCATCGTCAATATAGAAACATAAGCAAAAACAGTCCTTACATTCATGTATACTAATGATTTACATCTCCTTTAATCTCTCAGTGTAATGTATCATCGTATCGACACCTGTGATACAAATAAACTGAGTGGGTCAGGTTATGTCACACCCCCAAACCGGAACGGCGGAAACTTCGGGGTGGATGACGTCATGTACAGTATCACAACAATTGCATAATAGTAATCAGAGTATAATAACCATGATATTGATAATGTATAGTTTTTACATCTGTGTTCAAATCAATGTATACTTGACACCAAAATGTATAGCAAAAACCAAAATATATGACTCTATGAAGCTCCATATTCTCAAAACCTGTGTGGGTACCTGTCTACCGATTCCCTGAGAAATACAAGTGATTTTTGAAAAGAGTGTCAACAATTAAGTTTGTGAGTTCATAAGCACGTTTGTATTTGAAATCTGTCATTTGTTCCTTCAAAAATGTAAGTGTGTTCTTCCTGAAAATCCTATATTTTTACTTATAAATGTATTGTAGTCTTAATACCATAAGACCAAAATGTATAAGTGTTGTTGTACTCTAAAATAGTATATCGTAGTTTTATTATTAAATAAAACCATATGAAAATGAATGTTTCTCTGAAATGTAAGTTTCTCTGTACTGGAAAATAGTATGTTGTAAGTATACTTGTATGAAACTCTGTAAATGTATGTGCCTGGATCCACCAGCTGTAATCTAAAATACTGTATTGTAGTTTTATTATTTAATAAAACTATATGAAGTTGTTTATGTATTCGTACACTAATCGTATTGTTCAATACCAAATTGTGAGTTATCATAACCATGCTCGATGACCTAAGATGGCTTGAACATGATGTTCTTTAGGCATCAGAATTGGTACAACATTTGTCACCCCAGGCCTGCCGGGCTAACTGTAGCTAACAGTTAAGGTGCGGGGTTGTGACAACCTGAAATTTCTATCTTGTGAAGTCAGACTTGTTTCTGTTACCTTTTAACCGTGCTAAGGGCTATTCTGTGAGTTTTTAAGCCTTGTACACTTAGGACTTGATGCTATGATGTGTGAGTAACGAATCTATGACTTTCAAATTGAGCCAAGAACATTCATCAAGGGTGTTCACAGCCCAAACTAGGGTTTACGGCTGTAAACCCATGTTGGCCGTGAACCCCTCATCATAAGTATAGATTTCCTTCATTATTTCTTCATTTCTCACATCTTTCAATCAAGAACACTCAAACTCTCTCAAGTATCATCAAGGTAATCCATCCTTTCTCTTCAAAAACGTAAGTGATTCGTCCCTTTTACTAGTTAATCTTCTTGATCATATGAATCACATCCTTGAATTCATCACTTTTCCTTCAAGATCTTCAAGTCTTCATCTTTTCACCAAGAACACACACACTTGTTCTTGGGCCATAAACACCTTCAAGACTTCCATTAAG